AAATTCCTGTCTTATAGTTAAGTATATTTGTGTTGTGAAAAAGATACTCTTGGTTTCAATGATTGTTTTTGTCATTTGATACAGAAACTCCTGGGCGTTACACCTTACATCAAATGGGGAAGCAACGTGGCAACAAACAGGTAAAAAGCACCTGTGATCAGGTCTTATTTTTTCTCAAAATTATAAGCCGAATTTTTGTGTGCATGGCAGACTACCGCACACGAAGGGTCGAATGACCTTTGTTAATTATAGTCGTATGTGTTTTCGTCCGAGAATCGTGGGGTGCGCATCTCCTCGCGAGAGGCAACGTGAATGGTCTCTTGCGCAACTGAGGGAAACATCGAAGAGCTTATGGCATTCAATCCATGCTCTATGTAAAGTGAGCCTAAAAAATATTGGCGCATACAGCCACAACTGGACTCAAATCTTCAAGTAGGGTCTAGTGGCGCAGTTCCAGTGCGTGGGTTTTCTAATTTCATGAAAGCAGGTGCGAAATTCGTGCGGAGACGTGTTTTATCCCAGGAGAGGGATTTGCGTGTTTTCTCGCGTGAGCTCCCCACTCAGATAGACGTGTCTAGGCCTATTCAAACATGCCATTTTAATTTCTAGACTCATGAAGGCTGCAACAGAGGCTGCCAGTGGCGTTTGTGGAGTAAGTTAAACAATTTCACTGAAGAGCTTGTTTCTGATAGTTGTTTTGATTTATTTAACTTTTATTTTGATTGGTTTGTCAGACGTTTTACCGGTAGACTGATTTAGGAACACAATGTATAAAAGGTTACTAGAGCGGTTTTCACTTGACTGTCGAAAGGGATTGGTTTTGGTTTTGGTTTTGGTTTTACTACGCCCTTAGGTTGGATAGTGTATTTACTTTGGTTTTGGTTTTACGACAGTCAAGTGAAAACCGCTCTAACAGATTTCATGTAACCAATCCTACCTTGAAAAGCCAAATAAACTCCTACGTTTTACGTAAGGATATAAGATATGCAGTTTGCGGAGGTATTTTTTTACCTTGATGATGACCTAGTGTCAAAAATGTTTACAGGTTTCTTTTTTTAATATATTTTTAGTTCACTTTTTAAACCTAAGCAAATTTTATGGACAGATATAATTTCAATCACCAAATTTCAGAGTTTTATCCACAGACACTCAGGGGCATCATAAGTTCACTGTTTTGAGCTTATAATTAGGTGGGAAATGTGGGGCAAGTTTGTGTAAGAATAATGTAATTGTATCCATTTTTACTGTATCAGGCCTCTGCTTTTAATGCCAGCTACTCGGATGGTGGTCTTTTTGGATGTTATGTTATTGCGGAGGCTGCGATTGCACCACAGGTAATAATGATATTAATAATCATCATCATAATTGTGTGGTCTTAATAGTGTCGTATTTCTATTTGTTTACAAACCAGCTAGTTCCTTTGTGAAGGATCTGGCAAAGGAGTAGCTATTGGGGAGGGGAGTAGCTCCTTGTGGAGCGGAGCGGGGGCAGGCATATGACAAGGGTGGATATGCTTGTCGTCTTGTTTAGGTGTGTATATTGTAGGAACGCTGATGTATTTTGACCTTTTGGTTCCACTGCACTGTGACAATCACTATGTCCAGCTGACTGACATTGTTTCTGCAGGTTATGAAATCAGTTATTGGCCAGTTCTCCAAGGCTTCTAAAGGAGATATCTCTGATAAAGACGTAACACGAGCTAAGTGAGTGCCGAGTCTTAGTTACTCAATGTGATATCTTCAAGGAAGAATAGTAGCCGCACCCACATTGTTTCCGATGTACCCTGCTCCACATTTTGGGAGGGAACTTTTTTTCCCCGAAAAGCCCAAAAATTAGAACAACACGTTAATTTTAATTAAATGCCAATTATGTTGTAAGATATCACCGGTAGAACAGCAACTCTACAATAAAACTCAGGAGGTTACATTTGAATGGTTTTAGAAATCAATAAAGTTTTCGCTCGAAGCGATCGCTTAACTGGATCTGCTTTTAAATTAGCGATGTTGTAATATTCTGAGATGCACTCTGCCGCTTCAAGTCTTTTGTTTTTTCTTAGGCCTAGCTGCAATTCCAAACGCAATTTTGACCGTTGATAAATTTGATGTTTCGTGTTTTTCGTTTTAATTGATGCGGAGCTATTGATACTCGTAGTGTCTCCAATTCCGGAGATATTAATAAATGAGTTGTTTTGTTTTTTGGTCCTCGATGAATCATGAAATATATAAGTATCGCAAGTTTTGTACTTTAGGAATCAGATGAAGGCGCATTTGCTTATGAACAGTGAAAGCCAAGATACACTGTTTGAAGATATTGGCTCTCAGGTGAGTTCTATTATTTATATACCAAATAAGAGAATAAATTCTAAGGCGTCTTCTCTTATTTTGCTTTGAGACGTGAACTCAATTCGTTTTTTAAACTTAGATACAGTTCTTAAGAATCAAATTCCAAAAAAATTCACCTACGTTTTACAACTTGAACTACACGGAATAAGAGCGGTAAATTTTGAATGAAACGGCGTGAATTCACTCTTTTAAAGACGTTTTCGCTACCTCCGTCGACGGTGCTTCAAATCCCTGATAATGATGATGATGATGATGATTTTTTAACATTCTTAGGAATCTTATTTGTTATGAAATTCTTGTGAATTAAAATTTATAGGTTTAAAACAGTTCAATAGTTTGTACGTTAAAATGGCGGCGAATTAACAACCTGTGCGTTATGTCTGTCTATTGTTTAGATACTAGCGAAAGGAAGTTACACGTCAGCTGAAGCAGTTGCCGCTGCAGTCGATTCCATTACAAAGAGTGACATTTTGACGGTAAGGACACCGCAGGCTCTCACCCACTTTGCTGTAGCCTTTTGTTCTGGCGCAGTTTTTTAAGATGGCTTTTCAAAATGGCAGATAAGAGACCAGGAAAATTCACCTGATTTTCATAACTCTAGATGTAGTTTTGACACATGTTTAATTCATGCCTCATGTACCCCAAGTGGGTTATCTTAGGGCGCTTTCCGTTTGTCAAAACTGACCGGCCAGACCATCCCAGTAGTAACGAGAATTTCACTTTTAATCACAACTATCCAACTAGATCAGTCAAAACCTAAATACTAATGCACAAAGGAGATGGTTTTTCAGCAAAAACTCTTGGGAAAAAGCTATTTCACTGTCAAAATGACTGCTCCAGCTATGGTCCGGCAGGCCAGTTCCGACTTTTGGAAAGCGCTGTTAGTAGATAATCAAGCCTGAGGACCAGCTTTTTGAATTGACGGTCCTGAAGAATTTCCACTCTGCCTAAGCCAGTGGCAAGACAAGACAAATTATTTTATTTGGGGTCTTATACCAGCTGGTTCATCGACTGTTTTCCAAATAATTTAAAATCACAATCTTCTATGTTAAGCTATTTATTACACTATACATAACAAGTTATTACAAATGGCGATAGTTACATACACACAGACACAGTGACATAATTATTTTGATCTATTTTTTGTCCTCCTTCTTGTTTCTTATTTTAAAGCATTCGAACACATACTTTGGGTTTCAGTCTTCTCGTCAGGGGGCATCTGTGTTGGATTAACCCGTTAAGCTCCAAGCCCCAATATCTGTGTAGAAATTCTCCAAACTGATCTCCATACATTTCTTCAATGAATTAGTTGAGAGAATTTGTTTAAAGGTCAATTCATTTTCGTGTGGGTTATCATTTTGTAAATTCTCCTAACTCTCTCTCTTGATGATGTATAGATGTTGTTAGGAGAAAACTGATATTCTTCACTCTTGGGAGTTAAAGGGTTTAGATATACTTTTGAGCTCTGACACTCTTTTTGTGGTGGTTTTGCCCTAACCACTCGTCCACGCTCAGACCAGGGCGGATAAAGGTTGGGCTATGAAACGAGCGCGTCCGAGCAAAAAGGTCTAATGCAGTGGATTCAGTTATGAGCTACAGATCAAAATGGGGGGAGGAGTTGTACAATGTCTTAAATAATAGGAGAAAATAACGAAAAACATTCAAAATTTTTGGAATTGAACTTTTTTCAAACTCACACTCAAACTAACTAAAAAGCGGTGAAAATGTTTCGCGTTTTACCAGAGCCCGAGCTGTTTGAGAAGTATGGCGGAATACTGACATTGAGCTGGCTTCAAACACAACGGAAGCGCAGAAAGAGCGCTTCTACTAATCCTACCCCGCACCACACCTCGCTTGAAGAGCGGAGTGCTCGCGGTTTGATCGCCCAACCTTTATCCGCCCTGCACGCTACTGCCCGTCCTTCCACCCCATCCCATATCCAAAGTGAGTAACTTCTGTGGCTACCTCTTTTGTAGGTGGCCAAACGCGTCTTCTCTGGCAAGCCTACGCTGTCTGCCGCAGGTGATGTGTCAACAATGCCGGGTTTGGATGAACTCTTCTGACTCGTCCTACAATCCTCATCGTTTGTGTCGCGGTGTGTTCAATAATTGGTGCATAGCTACTGGTACAGACTTATTATTTTTAACCAGACTGATCGCTTATCGCGGCCATTTCTTGTTGTAAAGAAATTAATTTTCGCCATTAAACGAATTAACTTTCTCTTAATGCTTTTCAGTTGTGGTGACAATGATGATGTGTAGGTTTTCTAGTAAGGAACAGTCCTAGGCAATTCTCTTTGTCCAATACAATGGAACCACCCTAAGAATAATTTAATATCATCGTCAACATCATCACAGGCACTTTGCATTCCCGGCGTTATCATTATCTAGGTCTTCAATCATCCAAATACATTTTCCCAATAGAGAACTCCTTGCCTCCTTTCTCGTCTGTTGTAGGCCACTTTTCCTCTTTTACTATATTCATTTCCCCCCTAAGACGAACCATTTCTACAAAAACAAATTGAATGGCACTGACAATTTTCAACAGCGGTTAGAAACATTAAAGGGGATGTGTCATGGCAGTCCGATTCATTTTGTTTAATTTTGCCAATTACTCGCCCTCAATAGCTATGGAACTTAAAGTAAGCAAAGGAATTACATGGAAATGACAAAATTGAAATTCGAGACAAACAAATATGTCTCCTGAGCATTATTTTTGAAGTTGCAAACAGCAGAGATCAACTTTGAAAAACTGTTAGGCTGAACAGTTTTCAAAAAACCTAATTTCAACCCGTTTCAATCTGCTTCAGTTTTGCCCATCCGTGGCATCTGTTGTGTTATTTTAACGTTCCTTTAATATTTTAAGCGCTTATTTTTACGTTTCTCTTAATTTAACGGGCATTTTGTAATTTCCTAATTTGGCTGAATTTCGTGACACAGCTCCTTTAAGGCTCTGTCTTCAATATACCGGATAGCTCTTTCGTCGGCACGAAATCCATATCGGATATGGAACGGTGATTCCGGAGCGAAGCTGCACCGTGCCGATTTTGAAAGTGGATCGTGCACAGATGGGATAGGTTTCTTTGCTACTCTTCGTGGGAGTGTAAACAGCTGGTGGGAGGTTGGGGGGAGGGGTACTTCCCTATATTGCGTATACCGAGATGTGCCGCTGGACAGGGTATGGTTTTTGACCTTTCTGTCCTAATCAGGGTATATAATTTCGTGTTAGTCTGTCAACAAAGTATTGCCTGCACGATTGATTTGATTTGCTAGATGAATTTTGTTTGTACTCCAAGTATACAAAAGCAGTGACTATAACGTGAAAACAAGACGGCGTGCATTTTTTCCTTTGTCCTAAACAGGGTAATAAAATTGAGGGTGTTTTCCTAAACAGGGTATGTATTTTAGGAATTTTTTTGTCCTAAACAGGGTCAGGGTTTCAAACCCTCAGCGGCTCGACTATACCCAAATATTTGTCTAGTACCCTTCCCGGGGAGGTTAACAGGTTTTCATACCAGGCCGGAGTAGTTTTCATGTCGATATGATAAGCTTTTACTTTTATTGTATACATAGCCTTAGTCGAGTGATTACCAAACAGTTTCTTCCAAGGTACCGCAACAACTCCAATGCGGTAATTTTATTTTTTAGCACCGTAAACGGTACCAATCCAGACGTGTTATCCCTCAAAAAGTATGACAAACACCTCTGTCATTTTTAAAGGGAAGTATAAACCCCGCTCCCCGGGCTTTGGGATTGCCCGGATGAACGAGAGAACGGGAAAGGAATCGCTGGGAACGGGGAAAAGGAATCTCTGCTCTTATTTCCCAGTTATGTAACTGTGGTGTCATTCAAGGTAATTCTGGCCCCTGGAACAGCCGTAAGTGTTTGCTTTTCGGCTTACATTTTTAACCTAAAAAAAATGATCTTTGTTTTGTTTATCGTGCAAATGCGCTTAGCTGTGCCGGCTAGTTTATAATGGCACCTGTAATAACTGAAATAATCATAAACAAATAAACCAAGCATAACACGATTAGAAAACCCAATTTAAGGGAGGAAATATGCAAAACAACAACTTCATTGGGGGCGACGAGACGGAGCTGCGAGATCGCGCACATGACAATAAAAAGAGCTAGCCAGACAAGGCGTAAGTTTGACTATTGTTTGTAAGAGCCGCTTTGCATGGTTCTTTAGCAGAAAGGGAGTTACGCTGCATAGGGGTTAGTAATCCAATACAAATTTTAAGTACGCCCAAAGCTAGGATTGACATAACTTCGGTTTATATTGGAATATCTGTGTTGTAAGCCTTTTCCGCCTCCGCTTCAAAGCCGTTTATATCGCTATCATTGTATTTTTTAGCGTTGAATTTTAGGAATTGATCCGCAAAATTTATGGGAGATCTTTGCATGAATTAAATGCCGGTTGTAAATATATTCATGTGTACTTAAAAAATAGTGTCGAGGTTGAAATTGCTGACACTTCTAAAGCTTAGCGCAAAGGGCGAACCCTTCCAGACATTTAGTTTGGAATGTTTTGTAATGTTTTTATTTTGTCATCATCTTCATCCTTTTCAATCTCCTGTCATCAGATCTTACTTTACTACATACAGGCCCTGAAGATAGAAGTTCTGAAACAGGCACCAGAAACAACAACAACAACAACAAATTTTATTGAAAATTGGGAAAATAACTAATTACATTACTTTCCGACCCGCAAATAGCTTATAAACTAATCGAGGCGGGGGGAGCTGAAGACATATTACAAGTACAAGATTTATATATAGATGGACTAAATAACAGTGAAGACACTACTATCGGTAAATAGAATAAACTAACATAAAACAAGACAAGTACATAACGATTACGAAGAGACGCTAACCTAAAGTATTAAATAACTTAATAAGACGGTAGACTTCGACATAATCATCTTCTGACCGCAAGAAATTTGGTAATAATTCCTTTATTTTTTACGAAAGGACGAACGGTTAAGTAAATAAGTCGGTGAATACATACACAAGCGTTAGTTTAAAACTGCATGTCTTAATCTTAAACATTTTTAAATTATGAGAAGTTCAAGAGCTCCTCCTGCAATATCCAGATCATCAGGCTTTTTAGCAGGGGGTGGGGAGGGTGGGATGCGAACCTCCTCGGCCCTAGCTTCGGCTTGGATTACCCCTGAGTCACTAGTTTGGGAGGAGATTTCATAAGGGTTCATAGAACGAAGGCAAAGCGTATATTGTTTACGGTCTGACTTCTTCTGTTGCGTTTGTTCAACGTTTTTGAGACTCAATGAAATAATTCTCTTAAGATAGATGAATTACTGGAGATAGTTCCCGATGCCCTCCAAGGCATCCTTGACCATGTTATACCTTGTGTCGTTACCGGGTACACTGCGCATTCCTCCCAGTCCAATAAGCTGTGTAGTTCAAAGCTGGGTTAAGATAACCCAGAATTAGTACGAAATTTGAATTTAAATCTGAAAACTAAAAGAGAAAATTCAGTTTAATTCTTTTTGTCTACGATTTGATGATTGGATGCTCTGAAAAGATTAGATAAGACTATCCGAGAAAATGCTTTTGAAGAAAAGAAAACGAAACCCTAATCAAAATATAACCCCGTGTTACTGCTAATCGACCTGAGAACAACTGGGCTGATCTTTAAATAAGGTCATTTTTTTTTGCTGTGCTCTTATCTCGAGAAAAACACAGTAAAATCTGCCACACGTAAGGTTACACGTAAACCTTCGCCATGTTGTGATTTATCCGCAAGAGAGCAAAGAACTGTAGGAAGACATTCACTCCTCTTCTGCTTCTCAACGTAAGGTTCTCCGGGGGGGAGGGTACTTAAGGAATTTCTGGGTGGGGATGTACTGCTAGGACCCTGGAACTCTTAACCCATACCAGAGCTAGTTCAGCTGAATTTTGCTACCCTATAATCGAGTAAACTCCCCAAATCCTCCCTATCCTAGAGTAGCTGTTTTCCAGAAACTACTGAGGTCACTAGCACAGTCTAGCCAAAACAAAACCTTATACCACAATCCCTAGTCTAGATATAATCTTCAACCAACTGATCAGTTTCCTGAAAAATGATACCCTATTCTAGACCCAAACGCTCTGATTTATATATCCTATCCTAGAGTAAACTGCTTGAAAACCATACCTTTCACAGCGGCACATACCTATATAGCCCATACATGGCAGTACCCTCCGTGGGGGTAAGGTCTTGGTGCCTCATTTCACTTCATCCTTGGTATGACCAGTCAAGATCGTTTAACTTTAAAATCCATGGACTTTAGTTAGAGGGAAATCTTTCTTTGCTGCTCAGAAGGGAAAATGTTTTATAGGTAGGAATTCTGGAATTGTTTTAACACGTGTAGGGCGTTGCTTCGAAAGCAGATCCGATTCAGTTAAAAAACGGTTTCAGTGCATGTCAGGCATGTCCTGAATGCATGTTGAGCAATGTTTACTTTGTCTCAAAATAGTTTCGCGAGTTCACTTGGGTTAAGTAACATCTGCAAGCTGTTTATCTTACGACTCTACCTGTCGAATTGACAAATTAGATAAGTTCAGGTTCCTTTCTGCTTCAGATTAGTACATAGACATCATGTTGAGGCTTACAGCAGCGCGCACTATTGACTAAGCCGATATCATTTCAGAGGTAGATACATTTTCTTTGAGCAATTAACATGAATCGGTTATCCAATAATGAACAATTTGGCGATACACATGCACATGGGGATATAATATAATTTATATTTTTGCTTCTTTAAACGAATATGAATAACGAAATACGCTCTGGTTTTGTAAAAGTCACAATAGAATTTTACCGGGGAAGTACAAAATTAGCCGGGTTAAAATAAACTGTTCGTCAGGTACCGGGGAAGCTAAATTATCACTGTGAAGACTGAGGCGGTAAAACCACTGGTTAGGGTTTCACTGAGTCTCTTACAGAGGAGTGTATTAGATGAAATGGCGACAAACGACATAAAGATTGGTTGAATACCGACAGGGACATGGTCTTCACCTCAAAATGCGAAACGACCGTATTTGAAATTCAGACTAGGGATATACGTACCCGCCACACCCCACCAAGAGGGCCTCTAAAATGACGTCCAGAAATTTCGAATCCCCAGGCATCCCATAGTCTCAGACTTTTTGGCATGTACTCTCTTCGACAAAGAAGCTGTTTCGTATCATTTAAGGCAATCAAAAGCCGCGTGGGTGTGCTATGGGTACGCTTGGAATGCGAAATTAACTTTTTCCGCTTGTTTTGACGGTCCTTTTCTTGAGTACTTGTAGAGATGTTACTTTGTCAAATTGCTGCAGTGAACGGACTCTTTGCACACTTAAGTTGTATTTTGCATGATAACTTCTTTTAAACGTCGTTTTTATCCTATAGTCGAGGTCATGAACCTGAATAAAACGGGCGTGAATCAAAACAGGACCAGTCGACGTAATTTAGCCCGTAGATAACCTTTCTCTCGACCTCGAATTGCAAAAAGAAAATGGCAAGATTATCCACAGGTGATGTTTATTTTTTTGCCGGACAACATGTTTGATGTTGTCGCCGTTTCAAAAAATAGCTCCTGGTGATAGCTATTCATTTTTTTTCAGGTGCTTTCGGTTTGTTTTTTATGGCGTGGATCGAGTTTAAAGGTACTCGGACTTTCCTTCGATCGGATGTTGAATATTATTTATTAAAACATTCTGGAGTTTTGATAGGCCCTCGCGCCATTTACACTTAATAACGGTTTTCCTTCCTGGATGGAAGTTGGTCTATTTTTCTTCATGTTTCTTAAAACATCCAAGTCATCAGCTCAAATTTAAAAATAGCAATCCAGGCAAGAAGTTTCTTTTCCAACGTTTATGGGTTATTGCGGGTCTAGGGGCGTGAAATGCAAGGTGCAGTCCTAAAAGAAGGCTCACGAATTGTGTTTTTGTATTCGTGAATTCATAACGTACGGCAAGCCACTTTTCAATTATCCAATCGTGTTGGAAAAGCCGCGAATGTGTTCTATGAACTTGCTAATTTCTGGATGATCCCTTAAGCGTGACCGGAATATAAATGAAAGTAATTGAGAAATAATTTCGGGTGTTGTCGTTCGTTCCTTTTCAATATTACTGCAAGTTGACAGAACTTGTGGAAATATTTGAAGTGTCGCTTAAGTTTGGCTGTGTCTCAAACTTTAGACATTGTACCGTTGCGTTGTAGGGTCGGGAAACGAACGTCACTGATGTGATTAAAACCAGTTCCGCTGATGAACTGAGTACAATGGGATCTTGGCCTGTTTAATCAGAGTTCTTTTCATTTGTCCTTAAACAGGTTTGATTGTTGACCTTTCAAAAGGTTATATTAATCAATTCATTTGTGTTGATAATAATACGACAAAGGCGTGGGAAAAAATCGCAGAACATTGGTCACAGCCTTTCCGGTCATCTGTATTTTATTTACAAGCTATGAGAAAGGAATTATTTCAATGCAATTCGTACAATATTACCAATAATGGAAAAAATATTTCTATATACAAGTGGTCTTTTTTGATTATATATGTAATACTCTGTATTCTAGTTCTCAACTTTAAACTTCTTCTCGATCATGTTAAACAATGCCTTTATAAAACTGAGATTAAACATTTTCATCCGAACTTCATTACGGATAAATCAGCTAGGTTGACGATTACCCAAAGTTCTGAGCATCTGAGACCACACACTGTTTGTATATAATGTACTTGCCTCGGAGTGTCGAAACATTCATGCACACGTTGTTCGATTAAAAATGCTTATTCGTTTTACAATGGCTGTCACAGTCGCGAGAGGGATTTGACTGACAACAAGAAGTACTTACAGGATTTAACTAGCAGCTCAAAAAGCATATACGTAAGGGGCCATGTAATTTATACAGACTTTCTAGTGGTTCATGTTTCGTCATCGTGCATTTAATCATCTGTAAGGACTTTGATATTGCCTTTATGTTAAGAGCTTTGCATACATGTATGATTACTTTTTAGTATTGTATTGAAATGCGTCATCGTAATACATGTAAAAATACTTATGATCTGAACATGACGTTTTCGGGAAAGTTTTTATTAATATCTTTCACTTTCCAAAGCGCCAAATTGAGCCAAACGTAAAGAATTCAACTAACTGGACAAATATTTTACACCATAAGGACGATTCGCCCACCACCTTTCAGTAACTTCTGCTTTGTTTGGTAAATATAGATCTGAATAATACAACTGCCCTCTTCAATGTAGAAAAAAGCAGCAGAACGTTCTTGAAAAACGTAACGTAATCAATTGCTTTTATGTACACAATTTAAAGGCCGGAATATCGTCAAGGCTCTGTTTGAATTTAGATTGTTTGAGTATTGTAGTTAACATTTTAAAGTTCTATTGCGAATTTACTAACTGTTTCTGATCTTGCGCCTGAGGAAGACCTCCCACTTCGTCAGCACTTCCTTCCCCCTCAACTCCTGCCTCATGTTTCCTTATTTCTTTCAAGTACTGCTTGATCTTCCTTTTGGCTCGAAGAAGATCCTCGGTGATGAGCGAATACTCATAGTTGCAACATTTCTCGTAGAAAACTTTGAACGGTTTGCACTTGGGTAGCAGTCGCCGGTTGATTGGGTGGCTTCGTCTTGTCCAAACTGCTGTTTTCATTTGGTGCCAGTGCGAGTTGGGGAAAATGTCATCGACGTTGGGCGAATAGGTGCACGTTTCTCCGATTTTGGCCACCTTTCGCCCAAGGTTGCAGCATCGTTCTCTCCGAGTGAGCTTCCTTTCTTTGCTAACTAACTTAGGTGTGGGTTTTTCTGTTAACAACTTTGACACCGGGGCTTTCGTCGTCACCAACGCCAAATCTAAAAAGCGGCAAAAGAATAGTGTAAATCGGGGAAAAAACGGTAAAATAATCATATTGCGTAGAACTGCCAACCTTTCGGCCTGTTGTTTTTGACGACTGCAGCGTTTGCCAGGACGTTTAAGATCCCTAAAGAGAGGATACAGAAAACGGATAACAGACTCATTTTTCGGTGTACTGTTAGCGGATGAATGACTGCGTAGTATTTGCGTGAGGGTCTCGTGCTACTACGTTTTGTTTTGATATTCTACCCGGAAAGGCAGGTTGCGATGCGATATATGTTGACGTTATTGTTCATGTATAATCGCTAAGAAAAGCAAACAAACTTTAATACCATCACTTGTCATTCAGGTTGGGGGTTAACGATGATTGACAGGCGAGAAGACAAAGGAATGTTAGGGCAGTCATTACAAACAATAGCCTTTTTCGGTGATAATAGTGGCTTTCACTACAGGAATCGAAGGTTTCTTTTGCAAAAAAAAATACCCACAATTTGGTATTTCTGTTCTAGATGCGCCCAAAATAGTCTTGTCATAATTGGATTTGGCTGGATGGCAGGAGTGGCTAAACGGGGGTGGTTTTTTTATCTGCTTATTAATAGCTTGTTTCAAGATTCCACCGTGGGATTGTTTGTTTTTGTTTGTAAAAGTTCAATTACATAATTAACAGTCGCAAAAAATCCCAAAGTGGAAAAAGAGTTAACCATTCAAAGTATAGTTACGGAGATTATACTTTCTAATCCCTTTAAAGGTCTGAAAAAGTCATTTTTGTTTTTTAATCTCAATTGTTCTAAGCCGGCACACACACAGAAAGAAAACAGTGGGAAAGTTCTGTTTGACAACTATAATTTTGTATATTGGCGCCTGATTGTCTATAAAATGGAGGCAGTTTATGTTAAAGAAATAAGGCCGGGTAGGGGAAGTAAATATGCACGTCCCTAAGATAAAGGTTATACGATTGAGTCCATCGAAGAGAATTTTGGAGTTTGTTCTCATTGAGCTTCATAGAGTTTGTGGTCCTACTTGGTCTGGATCTTGTGTTGTAAAATGTTTTTTCCGCTTTGTTCATAGTCAAGCACTTGTGAATTTACAGCATCCGGAATAGAAGAAGGAAATTGTGTTGACAAGAAAACGAGAAAAAAACCTGAACTGCATACACGCTAACTGAATGGCACAGGGATCGTGTGCCGCATATCTGAACATGCCAATCTCCAAACTAAGTACCGCTGTTAGGTTTTTGGCTCCGTACCCAACAACTTATTAGACAACTGGAATGCAGGTGAAGTCGTTGATATTAAACAAAAGACATGGCATGTAGCCACTTTTGTGCTGTTAATTAAATACTATTGTTCCTTAGTGTGTAGCTTGCGCTAAACTAACAGAAATACATTCAGGCTTAATTTCTGAGTTTTGTGACTTGAAGAGGAATATGAAGAGTACGCTAACTTTGTTGTTGTCAAATAACTTAAATCGAATCTTACAAAGTATGCATGCTTTAAAGAACAAACTTTCGTTAACTAAACCCATTTTCACAACTTGCGGTGTTGGTTTCCCTTCAATGCTAAATTTACTGTTCTAAGTAATTGTTTTTATGTTGTTCGTTAAGATATGCACTGATAGTGAATTGGACCCCTGCTCGCTGTTAGAATAACACTAATCTATCTGAAATCTCAGCAGGCTTTCGTGCATTTACAATTTTATCAACAGAGCTGTTCTTTGACTTACACTGAATAATCAACATAATGTAACTTTAAGCTCTGTTTACAACTTGGACATAAATGATTGCAAATGTATGTAGCGGTAAACAAAGAGAACGAGAGGTTTACCCCAGCAGTTGGAAACAAAGTACTTTTTTAAACTTTTTATTGTGCAGTGGCCAGCTGATTTCTCTTTACTGAAGCTGAAACTATGGTTGTCTTTTGAGGTCAGTGCAGGCCCCTCTTTTTGAAGGCCATGTTTGGCCCAGCTATTTCGCCGCAAGAAATCTTTTTTATCAGCTTCTTCATCCATTGAGTTCATTAATAGGTCAAGGGCGGTGACAGGGCTGAATCCTTCTGTCTCTGATCTCTTTTATATAACTACCAATTTTACAAGATTGACAAGTAAATAAACATTTCTCTTACTCTTGGCTCTCTGACGTAAACTGGTGTGAAGTGTACGTGCTGCGCGAAGCTTAATCCCTTTTGCAAACTTCAGTTAAAACTGCTGCGTCAGTAAAGTAGTTTCGTCAAATTGCCGCTGTTATCCCTTACTGAAGATCCTGAGAAACTCTTAATTTGTGAAGTACTGAACTAGTTCATGTAGCGGCTTTTTTTTTATAAAGAACGTCTTTTGCTCTCTTCGTTTAGCTATGTTCTTTAGTCTCCCTATCACTATTAACGCCCTTTTTAAAGTAATGAAAACAAACGTGACTTGGCTATCTCATGTTCCCCGGCCGCGCTTGGCACCGTTAGCACGTTTATTGAAAGTTAATCTCGAGAATGCGTCCGAATAGGGGCGTATCAGGAGTGTATAAAACCTCCCTGACAATATTTCGGAGTTTTTATGATTTTTCATTGGCCGATGGAATGTTTCCAAATAAAAGAGAAATTTAGTTGCTGTTTCCGCTGCGATGAGGCATCATATAGTTGAATAATAGCCTGCCTTGTTTGTTTTGTTGGTGTGTCTTGAGCCATAGAAAAAAAGAAGGTCACCGAGCAAACAGTTGCTTTATCTCGACAGCGGTATTCAACAAAGAAATCATCTGACATCAGGTCACGTTTACTCTTTGAGTTATAATTAATGTATTAAGATAGAGTAATAAACAACAGTAGCACAAACTGCCGTGCCAGGAAAAGGAAAAAACTTTTCCCCTCTTGCCAGCTTGTGTTTGATTGTCTTCAGGATAACGTCTGTGCCCGTTTTAAAGGATATTTTACAAAAATTGAACACAACATTAACACTAGAAACAATGGGTGTTCACTAAAACCTCCCAAAGCCAAATTAGAATTTGAACGGAGAAGTTTTGCCTTTCAAGGGGCTCTAGTTTACAATACTTTACCTCGGCATTTAAGAAATTTAAATTCTAGGTTTCTTTTTAAGAGTAATTTAAAAGAGTTTTTTAAATAGTAATCCATAATTCACAACTTTTTTCAGTCTTATAAGTCAATAATTTTTACAGATTTTGATTTTTGAATCTTAGATTTCTTAATGTTATTTTACTTTATTTTCCTCTTTAAAAATTATTCTTTATTTTTTAGTTAGTTATGAGATAATTACAAGACCCTTTTGATAACAGTTCTTTTTATTAGAACTGATAGGTTATCCCGTATAAATATTCGCGTTATTATTATTATTATTATTATTATTATTAGATACCTAACGGCCGCCCTGGATTCAAAACTAGATTTACTCTTATCATTCCATCTACAAACTTCGACCATGTTTGACTTCACCGTAACTCCTGCGTTAAACTACGAGTGACGCACTTTATCACCTCTACAAAATGGCGTCACTGGCATAAAGAACAAACCTGGATGGTGGTTTTAAGAAGGGAAGGTTAATGGTGGATTGTGATGAAGAAGAGCATGATGGTAGATAAAAATAACTCAGGAACCTTCACGTTTCACATTTTGCCATGTTCCCGCCAAAATGCAGATTTGAACGTTCTGCGCATGCACACCATGTTATCCGGGAAGTTACATTTCGCAGAACGGGATCCGAGGAGCAAAACTAAAATCAACATTTTATGACTCCGGCAAATGAAATTGCAGGCAAATCTTATTATAAACGGCAGTCAGAAGTGAAAGACAATATATAATTAAATCATAGGTGTATGGAATCTAGGTAGCAGGCGTGATAATTAGAGACACCGATCTAAATTCCTATATCGTTCCAATTAAAAAAAATCATTAGTGGAGGCTGATAGCGACTAACTGAAAAGAAGATAAAATTTAATTTGTAAATTTCGAATCGCATGAAACTGACACCCTCTAAATAGAGGGTGCCAGTTTTTCGGTATCCGGGATTTCCCTTATTTGAAGCTCGGGATTCGGGATTGGAAGTATGCCCGTGAGGTGGGATACCAGAAATAACCCTCGGGATTACGGGATTGAATAACCCTATTGGAGACCCTCTAAATAAGGTCGTCCCGTGGTGCAGTCTCTTTCGCATGATCAAGTACAGTGCGCACTACTTATAAACGAGTAAATTTAAGCAGTGAATAGCAGTTAGGGCAGTTTCGGATGGTGCGCTAATCACCAAATGATGTAATACAAATACTACCACTTCCCACTCCACAGCACGATGCCAAATCGATAATAGTTCGGCAACACCAGAAACCAATCAATATTAGGAGCTTAGCTTTGGTAAGCAAGTACACACGTGCGCGCTTCCCTGAAAAAATGACGAGGGTTTATTTAAAACAACAGCAAAACGAATATAAAAAAAGATCGGAAATAAGTCATGGCAGGCGGGCCCCTGGTGATGGTTTCAAACGCCGTTTTATGCAATAGTCAGTTTTCATAGAGAAATGAAACGACTTGTGACTTAATGCTGTTGTTAGCGTTCGCAAAAAAATGGGAAATTATATCAGGGGGCGAAGCAAAAAGGAGAATATCACTTTGTTTCGGGGACAGGTGTATTTTACCTTTTATAAACTGCATGAACAGTTTGCAAATTATAGTTTACAGTCATGAAGCAGGTCATGAATACGGCTGCTAGCACAGGAGAGTCAGTAGATTGTCTAACCCTCAGAGCCTGCTGCGCAGCTGAGCTCTTTAAAAGCCGATTTCGCGTGGTATCCGGCGGATATGTGATCAAATGTACTTCCGAGTCAGGAGCCCTCCTGTCCGAGTGTATTAAAATCCAGGTGCTCAAATTGTCTTAGTTTTCCTGCAAAGAAAAACGTCCGAGGACGAAGCTGCATGATAAACGCATTAAAAAAAGGTAAAGTGTCCTCATATTACGTCGGTAGCTTGAAATCTGACTAACACACGAAACTGACTGTGCTAATCCTAACCAACTGTGCTAATCCTTCCTTCTTGCTAGAAAAGAACAGGTTAAGTATTCACTTCCTCAGTGGTACTAACGATTTGGGTGGCAAAATCAGAAACCTTTTAGTTGGATTACGAGGACGAGTTTTTAAACCAACTTGCAAAAACTCGCCACTCTTGTCCCTAAAGTCTCTCCATAGTTGGCTAGAAACGGAAAAGAGTGAGAGTGTCAGGGAAGGACATGACTGGCTTGAAACTCCAAGGTCATAGGTGCACTCAAAGGCGAACACGTACTCACAACTAGAAGCCACCATAAATATGGTGCAGGAGGGGA